TGGGGGCTTGGGTATCCGTTCTATGGTTGAGATGATAAGATGCTTTAGGGTAAATGGTTATGGATTATTTGAAGGCGAGAGCAATTGTGGAAGAGAGTGGTGGATGCGCATTGGGGCAGTTGGGTGGCTGGTGATACTTGGTGTTCCTCGAGCAGGCCATGGCTCGAGTTTATGGAGGAAGATTGGTATGAATTTTAATAATTTATATAGCATGTTGAGTGGAAGTTGGCTAGCAGTATATTATTCACGTTTGGCTTGATGAGTGGTGTGGCAATGGGAAGCTCAAAGATCAATTTCCGCATATTTATGCCATTGCTAAAAAGTATGGTGGTGATGGATGCCTATGCTGGGAAGGGGAGTGGGGTGGTGTGGAATGTGGAGATGGGGAGGAATTTAAATGATTAAGAGGTGGGGGAATGTGAAGAAATGCTTCTTTTGCTTTATAGTATTTGGATGAACTGTAATAGTGACACTTTGGTGTGGATACCGAAGCAAGACGGGAGCTTTTCTGTAAAATCTTTTATGAGGTGTTGATGAAGCCTAATGTTAACGTGACGGTGGCGTTCCCTTACAGACAGATTTGGAAAGCTCGTGCACCACCTAGTGTTGCTTTTTTTGCTTGGGAGGTTGGGAAAGAATGTATCTTGACCATTGACAAACTCATGAACAGAGGCGGAGTGATAGTAAATACTTGTTACTTATGTAAAAGAGTGGTTGAAACTTGCAATCATTTATTGTTATGGTGTCCTGTTGCTCATCTGTTATGGTCGATGGTGTATAATTTGCTCGGTATTTGTTGTGTTTGGGCGGGTTTAGTGAAGGCGGAGACTTGAGCATGGAGTAGGGTGGGTAAAAAGAAGAAACATATTAATCTTATTCCTTTGACGAAGTTGTGGTTTCTTTAGAAAGAGAGGAATAGAAGGGTGTTTGAAGGGGTGGAGAGTGGCATTGTAAAAATTAAAGATCGTTGGTATTATTATTTTGGCTCTATTTTTTTAGGGAACGACATGTATAGGGTGGTAGAGTTTGGACATGTCATAGACAGTATTACATTGTGTATGGGCTGCACTCCCTTGGTGTTCTAGCAATAAACTCTTCATACTTTTTATTTTAAAAAGAAAGGATGAACTAACAAAATGCAGAATTGCTGCAAAAGATGGTGAACAAGTCTCCTTAGTAGTACAGAGTTTATTCAGCACAAGAATAGTCCTCAATGGCATCAAATATTTTGTTCAGAATGTACCATCAAAGAGAAGATTTATCGTTGTGGCAGATTTAAAAATATGCTCAAAATCCCTTGTTGACCACCTACAAATGTCAATGGCGTCACATCCTGACCCACACAAGTTAAGGTGGATCAAGAGAGGCCCTGTCATTAAGGTTGACTGAAATTTGCCTCTTCTGTTTCTATTGGAAAGTTTGAGATGGATGTCATTATTAGCCAAGTAGTTGATATGGATGCCAATCATATTTTACTGGAAAACCTTGGCAATATGATGTTGATGCAACCTCGATAGCTAGAAGGAACTATTATATCTTTAATTGGGAAGGGAGGAAAATTTCTTTTCTTCTTAAAGTAATTAGGAAACTAAACCCAGGATTTCAGTAGTGGAGAGGAAACATTTCTTTCTATTACCACTTGTGAAGAGGACGTTATATGCAATGCTAGCGAGGACAATGAAGCATATGCTCTCGTAGAAAAGGGTAAAGAGGTGCTATAGGTTGAGATTATACCAATGTTCAATCCTTGTGGCAAAGTTCAAAGAGATAATTCTAGATGAACTGCTAGATGGTTTGCCTCCCATTAGTGACATCCAATATCACATCGTTTTAATACCTAAAGCAGTCTTGCCAAATTTGCCCCACTATTGGCTGAAATCAAAGAAAAATGACGTACCCAAAAGAGAAGGTTGAGGAGCTTTTCCAAAAGGGACAGATTAAGGAAGTATAACTTCTGATGATGGAGGATAAATTAGGATTAATTTGCCACTTAGGGATTTGGTCAAAAACCTAGACATTACACTTAAAAGTTTTTAGACGTCATATGTAAAAGGCTTAAGCATCATTTGATTGAGTTACAATTAGAAAATTGAGAAATTTTATAAATATTTTTTTGAATAACTGAAGTTTTTCAAAAAGAAAAGAAGTAAAATTACAAATATATTTTTAATGCTTCCTTTGTAGCTTTTATTAAATAAAACAAGTTAGGGTTAACTTGCATACTTAAGGATATTGGGATAAAAACCTAAACATTACACTAAAGATTTCTTAGGCATCATATCTAAGAAGTCTTAAGCATTACATTTAAAGGTTTGATTGAATTAAACAATCAGAAGATTGAGAAATTCTCAAAATATTTTATTAGTAACTGAATTCTATTCAAAAAAATAAAATTACTAAGATATTTCTAATACTTCATGAGTAGCCTTTACTAGTACATTTAGACTAAGAAATACTGATAGTAATAGAATTAGCACATTAAATTTCAAAGTTAGTAAAGTTATAATAATACTCTTAAATAGATAGCAACATTATATGATTATTGTTTTTAATCTATTTAGGCAATCTGGAGCTGATTCATTCTGCATTATTCTTCCCTGGGTGGAGAATTAGCACATAAAATTTCTCTTGATACTAGGTTTCAGGGTTGAAATTGCTCTAGTTATAGTTGAATTAGATGTTTGAAGGTATTCTCCTGTGAATTCCCTCTTGCTTCAAGAACTCATCTCGTGTTGCTGTGACAGCATATAGTTGCAGCATCTTTCGTCATCCTGGATTGAAGTTTTTACTGTTTTGCAGTCTCTTACACATTTGTGATAGCACCTGGCATCGCTATCATGTGGACACATGGTTGCCCCACCTACATATGTTTCAAGTCCTTGAAATGTCTCATAACTATGACACTGTTTAACTCTAATTTAGCCTTCCAATCATATTCTATAGAATCTACCTTTATTTATTAATTCTTTACTGTGCAGTGGTGTGGTGGTTGCATTTTATCTATATAAGATCACCATCAATGGTAAGAAGAGAAGAAGCTCAGACTTGGAACCCGGGGCTGAAAATTGAGTCATATGCTGGATGATGGCCAAATCACATGTATATCTTTTTGGTTCGTTTATGTTTCTCTCACTTAAGGTGTAACTCAAATTTTCATCATTACCTTAAAAATACTCTGTTAATTTCCTGTTCCGTGCAGCCAACTTGAAACTGAGGATCATCTCCCACATGCCCCCAGGAGAAGTTCTACTAAATCACCTTGGAAAAACCCCAGTGAAGATTGCAGAAGCAGAGAGTGGTTGATACTGTAGGAGAATGGCTAAATAGAATGTCTAGTTTTACATTGTATTGTGATTATATCAAAGATAGTTGTAACAATCTAATGGGCATTTGTTCCTTGTTTGGTGCTAGAATCGTTTTGTTCCAATAAACTCGTTGATAATTGTTTATTCTTTTCCCAAGATACACCTGATCTTTGACACTCTCGAATTGCTGTCAGGATTATCTGTTTAACCAAATAATCATTCTATGTACTACAAAGTATTTGCTTCTATGTGAATTTACAGGTCCAATTTTTTACTTTGTTACATGGGTTTACCACAAATAAAACTTGAATCAACATATAACGAAAATAAATCAAAATATGAGGTTCTTGGATGATGGAGTTATTACTCTCTTTTCCTAGTCGCTTTTCTATTCAGGGAATCATCCCTAAGTTCTGTCAGCTGCTTGGATTGTTTGTGCAGAGTATTTACTCACAAGCTGCATTCTATTGTTTTGAACTTGAGTTTCGGTTGGTAGTCCTTTCTCTCTTGCCAATGGAAGACACTATTCAGTCTATAGATTCTTAGACCCAAAAAAAAAAAGCAGATATGTATAGATTATATTACTGATCTTAGTGGAATCTAATAGAGCAAACCCAAGAGAGTTATGCTTGGTAAGTAAGGTAATCAGAACAAAAGCTCATTTAAAGTACCGAATCAGATTTTGTTGAATAAAAAGATCTCTTTTAAAGCGATAGGTCAAAACCACCTTATGTGCTCATTTACGCATTAAGCAGAAAAGTTCAAAATTCTAGTATGGAATGTCATAGAAGACCCTG